TTACTCTCATCATCATTATTATTATTATGACTATTATTAGTATTATTATCATCATCATCATCATCATCATCATCATCACTTAAAGCCCGTCTGTACTAGTTTGGCCAGGGGGATTAAACCACCCAGCGTGGTCACTGACAGGTGGCTATCTCATCAGCTCAGCTCTTAATTAACATATGAAAAAGAGGATCATAGGGGACCAACAGGCACCGATTAGGCATTGCTTGCTATATAGAGGGCGCAAGTAGCTACAAGTAGTACAGTTGGGCTTTAAACATCATCGTCAGCTTTATCATCATTATCATCAACAACAACAACATTATCATTATTATTATCATTATTACTACTATTATTATTATAATTATTATTATCATCATTATTATTATCATTATTTATAATTATTATTGTTATCATTATTACTATTATTAGAATTATTATCATGATCATCATCATGATCATCATGATCATCAACATCATCATGTCTTGGATATCGTTGATATACAACAAGAAGAGGGTAGAAACCTTCAATATTTATTAGTAGACAGTAATAAACTGCACTGCCCATTGATTGCCAGTAGACTTTTCTGTCATGCATTGTTTTGCTTCCCGTCACTCCTTCGGTTGAATTTGGCAGGAAACAATACAATTCAAAGATATATTTAGTCATGCAAACACGAACATTTAGCCCCTTGACTATTAATGCAATTGAATTAGCTAGACTGGCATAAAGCCCATCTTCGTAAACAGCTGAAGACCTTTTTTATATTTTGTTGTCTACGAATCCGGATATCATGGCATCACAATATCAAAGATCATTCTATCAAACTGAGAAGGGGATAGGGCCTATCTTTAGAATATGTATAGTATGAAAATGCGAGCACGCTTGTTTGAAAGTAAATGACTTGTGAGATAGAAGTAAAATATGGAAGTAAAATATGGATAAGGGCGGAAGAAGAGGGAGAATAGAGACTGAGAAGAAGTGAGTCGGAAAGAGCAAGGGAGATGGAGAAAGAGAGAGAGAGAGAGAGAGAGAGCGAGAGAGGGATGAGAGAGAGAGAAAGAGAGTAAGAGAGAGAGAGAGAGAGAGAGAAAGAGATAGCAATATGGAAAGAGAGAGAGGAAGGGGAAGAGGGAGGGAGAGAGAGAGAGAGAGAGAGAAAGATAGTAATATAGAAAGAGAGAGAGAGAGGGGGAGTGGGAGAGGGAGGGAGGGAGAGAGAGAGAGAGAGAGAGAGAGAGAGAGAGAGAGATAGAGAGAGAGACAAAGACAGCGAAGGGTGAACAAATTGGCCTGCCAATAGGAAATCCGTAGGAAATGAAGTGAGGAACTGGGAAAAGGAACGCAAGAGCTGAAGAAGATGAGATCCCTTTCACACTCCAATATCGGCCGCTTTTATCGCTCGCATTCAATCAAGTGATGACCGTGTCACCCCCTTAAATGCCGCATTAAGTCATTTTTGTTTGTGTAAATGAATTTCAACAATCATTTCATCATAATATGTTAGATACCCGTGCTTTGAAGCTGATTCCGGGCAGTGTCTGGCAAAAAAAAAAAAAAAAAAAAATCGCTGGCAATCTTAATTACTAATTTATTCAAATCGTGTTTTCCGTAAACTGGGTATTAACAAGAGCTTTAGCGGCTCAATTGCTGGCCTATGCGAAGCAGAAACTGCGAGCTTGAGAGAATATAGGATATCAATTTTGGGGTTAAACAGAGAGTCGCGACAGAGGGCCACATCCGTTCAAAATTCCTTTGGAATTAAGTCACTAAACAAACTGTCATTTCTTTTGGTTTAGGCATCGATTCAAGATTGGTAATGACGCATGGGTCAACCAAAATGTGCATAATGATTCACAAACAAAATAAACAATGATTCTATAAATCGTACAATGAACAAAGGACTTTATTTAATTAATCATTTTAGAAGGAAGCATATTTTTAGCTTATTTTGGAAGGTGATATTTAAAGAAAACGGTGTGATAAAGACGGACATTTTTCGAAAAAGACGTCCAAGTAATGAATCATGCAAACGATGATTCATTCATTCTATGATTGATCAAATAATTTTGAGGGATTGACTAATGGTGGAATTAATTTCAGCGGTAAGGTTTTTTTCTGTTTGCTTTTACGGCAATATTTGAAGAAATGATCGAGGTCGATTGGATTATACGTGAAACGGAATTGCGAGAGGACATTTTAAAAGTTGATATTACTTTGTTAGTATTTTATTGACTCGTTTGTATATGACAAAGCATTTCTTAACCTATGTTTTGGGGGTATGATCCGCTAGAATTATCAGATTTTAAGATTTTAAGATTTTAAGATTTTTTTTTTTTTTTTTTTTTTTTGGGGGGGGGGGGGGGAATATATCAGAACTTATAAATAATGAGAGATTTTCAGGTTGAATCAAAGTTGAGTGCAATTTATTAAACCAAAACACATGCTTAAAGGACAAAAAATTAAGGGTCACTTTTTGAAAAGATAAGTCCCATGCACTTGAAATACTATTCCTTACATATTCTATGCATAATGGATAATATGAATGAAAAGGAAGACATGTTTCACATTTGTTTTGTCTATTAAAAGTAGACTCATTTTGTAAATAAAATTAAAATTGAAATTAAGCATTTATCATCCATTCGGAAATTCGTTTTTTACCGAAAAAAGTTTATAGATCAGTTTACAAAATGAAATAATCATAATCGCTGTCAGTTCCATAAACACGTGTTTTTGTTAAATATCAAACGTCATTTACTTACTGCCAATGTCATCCTAAATGTTGAACACTGCATGTTATAAGCCAAGATGAATACAATCATTGCATACACTTGGCAAACATGCGAATAAGCTGTTATGTTTGAAGCTGCGAAATAATATAAAACCACGACAGGTCAACTTCATAAAAAAACAAATTGGCCTTGTCACTTTGCTTCTTGCTTTGTTATTTTTTTCTTCAATGCACCTTTTATATCAAAGTTCCCAATGAAGTTGAAAACAAAACATTTTAGAGTGATTTTTTTTATTAGAAAATTTGATTGCATTGTGTCGTTTTCAATAACAAAATTGAATATCACAATAATATAGATGATGAACTAATGAATGGCCACTAACTAACCCAAATTAAGCGACGTAAATATGGTAATGAAAATGAAGGCATAATACATTTGTGTCTCGTTATTTCCTGCTCTACCTCCCCCTCCTCCCTCCTCATTTATCCTTCTACTACTGCTGCTGTTGATGTTGCTGCTATACTGCTACTACTACTACTACTACTACTACTACTACTACTACTACTACTACTACTACTACTACTACTACTACTACTACTACTATTACTATTACTACTACTGCTAGTAGTCTACTACTGTACTACTACAGTCAAACCTGCTTTAGTGAACACCTGTCTACAAAGACCACATTTTTTGGTTTCCCTTGAAATTGTTTTCTCATTGAAACATGTCATTTAGGCACCTGTACATAAAGACCACCTGCTTATAAAGACCACTTTTCTTGTCTCCCTTGGGTGGTCTTTATAGACAAGTTTTAACTATACTACTATTAGTACTACTACTGCTGCTATTGGTAATACTTCTACGTTTACTACTACTACTACTACTACTACTACTACTACTACTTCTACTACTAATTTTACTACTACTTTTACTACTACTACTACTACTACTACTTCTACTACTACTACTATTAAAATTACTACCTCTTCAACTTCCACTTCTTCTCCTTTTTCTTCTTCTTCTTCTTCTTCTTCTTTCTTCTTCTTCTTCTTCTTCTTCTTCTTCTTCTTCTTCTTCTTCTTCTTCCTCTTCTATTTCTTCTTCTTCTTCTTTTCCTTCTTCTTCTTCTTCTTCCTCCGGCGGGTGTCAGGTTTAACAGGACCATTCTGCCTGTTAAGGGCGATATGTTACAAGTAGATATATAGCCAAATAGTACTGCCAGTATGCATGGCTAGTATTACCATTATATAGAACAACGTTGGGCCTCCTGTAAATGGGAACTGTAATAACTGTTGTGGTGACCCATAACTGAAACCCCAAATACAAATTTATTATTAATATTAATAGTCGTGTTTTGTCAATGGTGCTGAAAGAGATTAATAATCTATGCCAGTAGCGACTCCCGGGGGAGTGGGAGGGGTAGGGGAGAGGAGAGGGGGGGGGGGGCAAAGCGAGCTCATGGGGCACTTTGAATTGTCTTCCTATCACCCCTTAATAACATGTATCCGACTAGTAGTTGCCATGCTGTTTTCAGAGTTTATATCATATGCAAATGACGTTGACGTAATAATTCAGTCAGTATTAGAAATCGTTATAATTATGTCATTATTATAAATGAGAGGGTCGTAAATTGGAGATAAGCCAACTATCAGCTTTCGTGCAAGTATAGTTTGTTCGTTCTTTCCAAATGTATATACTTCTTTTTCCATTCCATTCCATTGGGCTCATCTTACAAAACGTTACGCCGTTTTTCTCTCTTTTCGTCAAGCGAGGTTTTGATTGCCATGATTTCAATACATATGTACATTATTTTGTCAATGATTGAATGGAAAATAACATTGGCTAAAAATTGAGGTATGCTGCTTGTAATGTCGGCTTGCATGGTGATGTAGATATACATTCACTCCTGACGACGGATAGTCAACCTGTTCGAAACGTCGAGCCATTCCCGCCACTCATCCTCTCCAAGCGCTATATAATAGTTCTCCTTAGAACTATAAGCTAAGAAAGATAACCAACAGTATATACCAACAGTCCTTTTTAGGACTAACAAAACCCTCAAGAAAGATTACCGAGATTCCTTTTCAGGACTCCTCAATCCTCCCTCTCTCTCATATGGTGCACCCACAAGCCTACTGTATAAATTAAGGTATATCTAACATTAACACATTAATGTCTTAAAAACTATCTTAGCAACGATATGTAGTTAATCAATGGTATATGAGTGGTTATGAAAGAATATCAAATAAAAAGGCGTGTATACTTACTTATAAATGCTTGTACCTCTTTGGAGAAGGACAGCAGAGATATAATCCAAATAACAAACTTTTGTAACTCCGCCAATTCACTACATAATCGCACCATGTTGATCGTTTTTCGACGTTGCTCTAGCCAAGTTTAACGCTATTTCTTGTATACGGTTGAAACGAGTTCAAAGTGTTGCTCGCTCATTGACAGTTCGTTTCGTTATGTACGCTTTGTGAGCGGAAAGAACGGAACTATAAACACGGTGCTACGCATGCCCGATTTTCGGAAGTTTTCGGAAGGCAGCCCCCCCCCCCCCCCGTGTTCTCTGGCTGATCTCCTACCCCATCTCACCTCTCTCTCTCTCTCTCTCTCTCTCTCTCTCTCTCTCTCTCTCTCTCCCTTTCTCTCTCTCTCTCTCTCTCTCTCTCTCTCGATATATATATCTCATCTCTTCATCTATGTCTCTCCTCTCCCCCTCTCTCTCTCTCCCTCTCTTTCTTCCTGTCTCTGTCCTGTCTCTCTCTCTCTCTCTCTCTGTCTCTCTATGTCTCTATCATATCTGTCTCTCTGTCTCTCATCTCTCTGTGTCTCTCATTGACAATCAACCCCACCCCCACAATTACGGTTTCTTCTGTTTTAGCCCCGCCCACACCATCCCCTCCCCCGCTCTCTCTCTCTCTCTCTCTCTGACATGGGCTCTCCTTGAAAAGCGCAACTTTTTTTCAAGTTCAAGGTCTACCTGGACTTCACCTGCTTTCAAGAGACATGTCATAGATGTGAAGGGGTTTAGACAATGAACGAGATAATCCTCCGATAGGGATTAGTAAAACGACCTGTGTAATTGCATGCGACCGCCCTTGTCCACTCATCAATCCACAATGCGTTATCAGAAGTTTAGCCTTTTGTACGGGTGTTACGCAACTATCTGACAAAGAAAAACAAAGAAGGAGGAAATAAATAGTGCAATATATCTGCTACCGTTTTGTTAGTTTTCTGCTGACCCTTGGGCTTGTGCCTACCTTATGTAGAACAAATGACAATGTAAATAATATGTGGTATATTGTACATGTACTATGCTGGGCTCTATGTTTGAGTGAGGTCCATGGTATAACCTGCATTAAAAAACGATGTATTTTATTTTTTATCTCTTACGCGAAGTGCTGAGTTTCGTTTTTAACATGAGGTTAATGCTGTATAAATAGTGCTAAACAGCTTATTGAGTCATGAATGTTTCAGTTTCTGCGTCTTTGAAGTAGGCCTATCTGAGAAATATTTAGAGCAGTTAAACCAAGGAGATACTCTCTTCGGTTAAACGGTTAAACGCACTCAGATCAGTGAGATGAAAGGCCTTAGGAACCCTACCCCTTCCATTTCTTCCCTCCCCTCTCTCTCTACCCTTAGGCTAGCTCCTCCAATTATATATATATATATAAATATCTATCTCTCTCTCTCTCTCTCTCTCTCTCTCTCTCTCTATTCTTCTACCCCCCCCCCCCCCACCATTCTATAAACCCATCCTCCCCTCTCTCTCGTTCACTGTTACTCTCTCTTTCACTCAATCTCTTTCCCTTTATTTCCTCGCATTCTCTCTTCCTCTCATTTTGTTTTCTCACCCTCTCTCCCTGTCTCCCCTCTCCACCCCTCTCTCCCTCTCTCCCCTTCTCTTCTTCTCTACAATTCCACCTTCTTATATCCCCTTTCTCCTTAAGCCTTGTTCCTTGTCTCTTATCCGGTCGGCGATATCCAGCTCATTAAAGACAACCCCTCTTGGCATACCTGATTAGATTATCCATTTAATAGAGCCGGATTAAGGGTAGATTAAGAAGGGATTATTAATAAGTGATCCTCCTTCCTAAATGCGAGTAACGGTCTTTCGACCTTGGGGGATGTTCGATTTAGATGATTTAGTTCAGGTCGTAGTGCAAGACACATGCTCCGATTGAAGTTGAGTTGTGGTATAATGATTATGTGAAAATTAAACTGTGAGCTTATTTACGATTCCTTTTATGTCAGTTTAGAAGAATATCATGATAGAAATGCTAATCTGGAGCTCTAGTATGGGAATCGTATGTATCGTATTCGTTCTGGGGGGGGGGGGGGGGGTGTTTCACAAAGAACAAGAATGACTGAAATCGCACCAAAACTATGGCAGGCTGATAATGCCACTGCTTGCTCTCACAATTCCTAACATCATTAGTCTCTCAAGGGAAATGTAAGTCGTGCTTGCAAATCAACAGAATATACATTAAAAAAAAACATCATTGTTGAAGGAAACATAAAATTACCTAAATGTGCACATTCCTTCAGAGAATTACTGTATGAGCAGCTAGTGGCATCAACTGCCTGTTATAGTTTGTGCGCTTTCGGTCAATCTTTGTGAAACACCCCCCCCCCCCCGGATTGCTTTAATGTGGAGTATAATGAGGAAGAGGCTTGATTTGAAAGCACCGTGCGATTTAACTCACTTTGAGTAGCCTGTAATTAGACACATAACTAATCTTATTACAAACAACTGAATAGAATAGTTACAATAACCCCCTTATTTCATATGGGGAGTGGTTCACAAAGACTAAAATCGACTTTAAGTCGGACTTAACTATGGCAGGCCGTTCATGCCACTAGTTCCATTTTCTGTCAATTTTCTCTCCCCTGTCCCCCTCTCACATCCCCATCTCGTTCTCTTCTTCTTCAACTATCCACCCCTCCCTGTCTTCGTCTGTATCTTGGACTATCTGTATCTCTGTCTACCCCCTTTCTTTGCCTCTCTCCCTCTCTCTCTCTCTCTCTCTCTGTTCCTCCAATAGTATGGGTGCATTTTCATAAAGCTCTATATTTCGGTAGCTGTTTATTATTTATTAGACAAATGCGAAAAATAAACTTATTTCGAGGTTTTATTCTCCCATTATTTTGAATGAATATAAATGGGACTCTTTCACCTTTATTTAGTTCAATCTTTTGCACGGCACAGTTATGCTGAATCTTTGAAATACATGTATAATTCTCCTCTAAAATATAAATATTCATATAATTACTTTATACACATAGGATAAACCACGACATTGATAAAAGTACACTTCCTCGCAATTATGAAAAACTAACAAACCATTAAAGGTTAGGTAATAATTAAATCTCATGAAAACATTTTGGTATTGCGTATTATTTGCAGTAGGAATAATAATAGTATTTTAGTATCATTATTAGTAATAGTCGTCATCATTGTCAGCGTCATCGTAGACGTAGTGGTATAGCAGCAGTAGCAGCAGTTTTTTCAAAGTCTATACAACTTTCTAACCAATCGATATTCTCACCAATTGACATTCTAACCATAGTTTTTAACCATGAGGGCGTTTTTACTAAAGTCAGATATTGTAACAAAGAGGGCATATATATTTATTGTGCTCTTTATATCGCGAAAATTGATACGAGTGCATAACGCCCTATCAAAATAATTCATTCTTACTCTTCTATTAGATGGAAAAAAGGCAAGAAATTCATGAACACAACTTTTAGTCATAAATAATCTATGATTATCACATTCTTTGGTAATCGAAAGATAATTATAGCACTGCACCCAGTGAAAGATATGCACCTTCAAATACTTTTCTGAAACCATGAGATTAACATCATATAAATAACTATAATGCAAGTGATAAATGTACAATTAATAATTCTTCATGGAATCAGTCTCCCAGTTCATGCAATTTCAATAAAATATAGAAAAGTCAGGTAATTGAATATCGACAGAAAAAATAGAATGGCAATAAAACGTAAAGAACAGGCAATCTTTGGTGTTTACAACATCAGTACAACATCTAGGAAAATATTATTTACATCGAGTGATATGATAAAAGCATAATATATGTTGAAGAATTGGATAACATTATAATTATTTAGCAGAGGGGGAAAACCCCATAAATTTGAAAACATCATTATGTTGAAAGTACTGTGGGCTTTTATGATTCCTCAAAAATCACTTTATTTATACCGGCAGTGTATGCTTTTAGCAAGATGCATGAAGAGGGAAAAATACAAACCTAGCTAAGATAATTGCACTGTTCGAAGCGAAAGGACTAAATATGAGGTGAGAGTTTCACCAAAAAAATGTGGTTTTTAAAAAGTGAGTAGAAAAAAATAAATCGGGTGGGGGGAGTCTAACTATTCAATTCAAATTGTATTGATTAAAATCCAAAGAAATAGGATCATTCTCGATTATGATTATAACATTGGATTAAAAAAATTCAAAAATTATAGTGTAACATTGATAATTGATTGTAAGAGTAAGATGACAATAACCAGGAATAACAAACATTAACGTTCTATTGCATGTCTCTTCTGAAATATAAATACAGGGATAATAGAATAAATGAAATTACTCGTAATACCTTTTACAATTTTTTCTTTTAACATGTCAAATGTTAATGTATTTCATTTGAAACACCAGCTCTGCAATGCCCTCCATGATTTTTCGCTTTCTTGACCTGTTCATTCGTCCTGCATATTGTAAGGTTAGAAATCAATTGATTTTTTAGGATGAAGGTGAATATTAACAACTGTTGTAATAGCAATATCAATATCAAAATCAGTTTTTGTTTTAGCTCATTCCTCAGATTTAAAGACATAGAAAGGTAAATTCTACTTTCATACAATGTCTGAAGTTTGCATTTCAAACCCCCAGCTCTCTCTCTCTCTCTCTCTCTCGTTCTCTTTTTATCATGTTTATCTTTTCTTCTACTCTTACTACCATCCCCCCCCCCTCTCTCTCTCTCTCTCTCTTATCTCTCTCTTTCTCATTCTCTCCCCCCTCTCTCTCTCTCTCTCTCTCTCTCTCTCACACTCTCTCTCTCTCGAGTCCATCTTTCAGTCCTTAGCATTTCTTCCCGGCATGTTTCCTTAACGTACATGATGCTAAAGATAAGTTACCTAGGCGGGACGGAGTAGCATACAGGTAATTTGAAGCCGCTGTATTCTGATGAGATTGCCACTGCGTATGCACCCATATCTAAAGAACGGGAGGAGAGAAAAAAATAGACAAGTTTTGATGATTAACTTGTAATGACCTTTTTACTCACATCTCGATTCTCCAATTATCTCCCCGGTATCAATATTATTTAAAAACTAAAGAATGAAACAATGTATGTCATCTAAAGAGCAGACAATAAATTGAAAGGCCATTCACTCCCCTAATAGTTCCCTTCAGTAATGAACTACATATAGCTTATTCAGTCCTCACTCAATCAGTATCCAAATAATGAACCAACTAACTAACCAACAAAACAAAAATAAAAAAACAGAGAACAACATCAACAACAACCAACAAATAAAAACAAAACAACCAACAAACCAACCAACGAACAACAAACCAACACACCAACCAACAAACAAACCAACAAACCGACCAAACAACAAATCCCAAAACCAACCAACCAACGTAGCATGAAATATAATTTTAAAAATAAACAATCAATCAACCAACCAAGTAACCAACCAACCAACCAACCAACCAACCTACCAACCAACCAACCAATCAACCAACCAACCAACCAACCAACCAACCAACAAATAAACCAACAAACCAACCAACCAACAAACAAACCAATCAACCAAAAACCAACTAGCTAACCAACAAACCAACCAACCAACCAACCAACGAATAAACCAACAAAGCAACATACAAACCAACCAACCGACCCACAAACAAACCAACAAACCAATTTACATACAACCCAACAACCCGCTCAACCAACAAAACAACCAACCAACCAACAAACCAACAAACAAACCAACAAACCAACCAACTAACCAAGTAACCAACTAACAAACCAACCAACCCACCTACCAACCAAACAACAAACAAACATACAAATTAACCAACAAACTAACCAACCATACTACCAACTAACCAACCAATTACGAACTAACCAACTAACAAACCAACAAAGCAACCTTCAAACCACCCAACTACCCAATCTTTAAATCAAGAAACCAACCAACCAAGTAAACATTACACCTTTACCTCTAAAAACCAACCAGTCACCCTCTTCCAGCTCTGGTAGAAGACAGTGTCGCCTCACGCAGTCCACCCTGCTCGTGGTATTACCCCACAGAACAGATGGTCTCTCGCTTCCGTCATTATTTGAACTCTGGTTCATCAATTTGAATGGAAAGAGACCACGAAAAAATGAAAGCCATGATTATATTACTGATTCTTGCCGTTGCCGTAACAAATTGATTTAACTGTATAAAAGAACACAATTCATTCTTGACAAAGATAACTGGGAAGCACGAAATGTCCCCTATACATAGCTACCCAATTATTGATTCATAGGTTTCTGCATGTATATAGGGGCGTGCCGCGTAGATCCTTGTCCAAAACGTAAATTAAATGTAACCTCTTTTTTTATCGTTGAAATGTGTATCGATGAATCAGGTCATTTTTTACCCTTTATAGTTATATTCATATTAATTCTACATTGATGCTGAATACATGACTAAATTGTGTGTAAACAAAGAGGACGGCAGACTAATATAATATTTATAATATCATTGTCTTATTTACCCAGGGTAGCGTCATATGAATTACTATTGTTACCTCTTCCACGACCTCCCGTATAGAAAGTCAACAGCCTTAGCTAATTTCAGGAATAGAACGAAACACAGTTGATGAGGATAAAAACTTATTATTTTCTCACCTTTAACACCTTAGCATCAAACTTAGCACCGATAAGGAATGAATCTCCAAGTGTTGAATACACGTTATTGCTGATATAATAAGCCACTTCGGGGGTTGCGCTGATATCTTTTATATCGTTCCAGTTTTCATCTGTAAAAGTGAAAAATATTTTGATAGATAATTATCTGTTGTTACTGTTTTGCTTGTGAAAAGTTTTCCGGTATTGTGCCCCTTTTGTCATGTTATCCGGACCTACTTCCTTTTTTTCTAAAAATAATTCTTGAGTTGATCAACGTGGAAAAGATTATCTGTTATTATTTTGTTGCTTGTGGAAAGTTTTCTGGCATTGTGCCCCTAGCTTTTACAAGGTCTCGAATTTGTCCTCGTTAGCCCCATCTCCGACTTCTACGCCTTATATCTTTGTGACGATTACAGCGTCACCCCTCCTCCTCCCTCTCTCTCTCTCTCTCTCACTCCCTCCCTTTTTCTCTCTCTCTCACTCCCTCCCTTTCTCTCTCTCCCTTTCTGGTAGCCTATGTATCAGTTTCTTTCTGTCTTTATCTCTTATCTGGGTTGAATGAAAGAGGGAGGAAGAGGAAGAAGAAACAAAAAAGAAGAAGGAAGAATAGTTCGGTTACCTTTCGGAGCTGAGAATGGATTCTTAATAAGGTCCCGTTTTCCAATCACACAAACGGCGAGGGAAAAGGCCGACTCGACGTAAAACGTGCCCGGCTCGCCGATTATCCGCGGATTCTGGTTATTTGAATCAGGAAAGTATTCGGCGATTGCGCTCCGTGCAGCAGCAGAAAACTTGATGGTGGAGGAGAAGCAAAAAGAAACAAATGAAAAGAAGACAAAAAGGTAAATCAATAAGAAAAGTATCGAATTAAAAGAATTTCAATTAGTTTTGTTATCATCAGGAGAAAAGTACACAAACACATTGTGAGCAATCCACTTCCGGGGTATTCATTAGGTACTATCGACATTTGGTACACCTTGGAGTCTTTAATCAGAAGATTAGCACAAAAACATAAATAGGAAAGGTTAATTATATCTTATATCATCTGCAATTTCGGAGAGTGGCTATATAATACTCTCCCATTAAAAAGTGATACGAGAGGACTGATTTTTCACTGCAAAACTACATCGACAGAGCTTGAAATACTTGTTATTGTTCAAAGAACTTGTTTAATCAATGTATAACCTCTTAAAAATATACCTTTAAATAACTTTTAAAGAGAAACATTCCTCCAAAGATGAGGACAAATGATGGCGTATCAAGTATTTGGTAGATGGGAGGGGCATGATTCAGAAAGTTATAATCACGTGATATGCCCCCTTTAAATAGATCGTACAGTTAAAGATTTCAATATCCTTCTTCTTCTTCTCCTCCTCTTTCTACTGGATTTTCTTCTTTTTCTTCTTAGAAAATAGTTTTGAAATGTACAAGCAACACAATATTACATAATAATCCAAGTATGAGTTCCATTAGCAATACAGTTTAGCCCTTGAGTCGATTTCATGAAAGACTTTGCGATCTTGTTACAGGCTTCTCTTATCATGCCACATGGCTAATCCCCATTAAATTGTGCCAAGCCACAAATCCCCACGTGCCAAGTTTATTTTGAGATAATCTGATAAACGCGATGGTACTATGAATAGCACAACACAGTACAATGAGCATGACCAATAACTGCTATTACGAATGCGTGCAAGCATGCACAAGGCAGCGAAGCAATGGCTCTCTCGCATGTTCGAAGCACTTTAACGGCAGCGTGCATGCAGCCTTATGGCAGGATATGAGTTTAAAAAAAAGGGGGCACGAGCCAGCGTGCCCTCTATACCTAAACTCAAAATACCTTTTCGAAAGGGATGGATGATGACTCTTTCCCGGGAAACCTCCTCCTATATCAATAATACGAAGATCATGTCCGATGTCGTTGCCGATATCGTAGGCTGTTCGTGCATCTCGTATGGCGGCGTAGTACGATTCGGGGTTACCGCTTCCACTACCAACATGAAAACTATGACACGGAGAGAGAGAGAGAGAGAGAGAGAGAGAGAGAGACTTTGGTGGTAAGCGCTTCATAAGCAACGTTTTTATTATTATCATTATTATTATTATTATGCGAGAGAATACGATGTGTTCTCACTGTCGCTCACAAGATACATCACTCTTTGAGTGGGTTTGATTAAACTACTAATAACAAAGGGTCTATAACTTATATCATTCACCCTACAACAAAGATCGATTTTATTTTCTCTATCAAAAACATATCATAGCCAACAAGACTATACTAGAACTCTTTCTCATAAGGAAGGCAGAGGCGTCAATTGAGGGGGGTGTCACCCCTACTTAACTTTTCCTGTCGGAAAACTGTTCGTATAACACAGAATGTAATGAACCACTTTTGTTGAGAACGTTCGGTTAACTTGTCTGCTAATTTTGGTCCGACAAGGTTTTAACCCCCATAAGTTAATGTCTAGCGACGCCGCTGTGCTAACGAGCAAGAACACTGGCTTAACATGTCGAGGTATTGTATGAGCCGACGTGCTGGTGGGCTATATTTCGTCAAAAATGCAGGGTAAAGGTTACTTACGATAGCCGAGGGTGTTTGAACTGTTTTGAAGGTACCGAATGTGGGTAATTTTATTAATGCCCGAACAAAATGTTGTGTATTATTTATTTTATAAGATAATGTTTTATTTGTTTTACAAAATGATGTTTTATAACATGATTATGATGTTGACCGGTCATTACCATTGGATAATGACCGGTCGTTATCCAAATTACGCGTTAGGCAAAATAAATGCCTGGTCACGTGTACGCTTTCAACCAATCATCTGATCAGGATCCACGTCATCATCTTATAATATAGGCTAACGACTGTGAAAAAATTGTCGCCGAAGCTTGTGTCCTACAACCACAAAGCAACAGGGGGCGTTTCACAAACTTGTCATCTGTGACAAATGACAGTTTTTGTTATAAGCTACTGAAATCCTTGCTTCTGATTGGTTATCAGCAGATTTGTCACTGCTTTTTGTCATTTGTCATTGAAAAAAGGCTTTGTGAAACGGGTCCCAGGTCTCACCATATACCTTCCACGGCCAGGTCTAGATTTTTCGCTGCTTCCAATAACCGGCGAACTTCATGAAGTGGGCAACCAAACTTCACCGAGAGAGGGATCACAGCAGTCTTGTCCTCGGCCCAAATCCGTAAGACCAATCTACTTGAAAAAGAAAAAAAGGGGTAAATCAGATCACTCTATATTATGTTTTTGGCAAAATAAATGAAGAAAAGAGCATCAACAAGTACATTTCCAGATATACCTGTCTAATTTCAAAATATACAGCCTGAGAAGAGGCCCACGGACACGCGCCCCTTAGGTACGGGCATTAAATAATTCTTTTCCCCTTCTTTATGTGTAAATCATGACTGAAGGGCCAGGAGGGAGGGGGCAAGTGTTCCCTGTGCCCCTCCCTTGATTCACCAATGTGTGTGAAATATTACCAATGCATATTATTTTGTACCTAAAAAAAACCAAAATAAAAATCTTCCTGTAATTCAACTTATAATATATACATAATAATTGCTAGTTCTTATATAGCACTTTTCAGGACCGAAGGTCCTCTCAAAGCGCTTTAAAGATATATATATATATATATATTATTACCCCGGTCATCGGATTCAGGCTTACCCGTACACAATGTATGTACATTCTCCACTCCCTGGGGAGCATTCCAGCCAGGCGTCATTTTTAAAAGCGCACACTTGCTAATCTAAGCACATTAGCTTTCGCAAACCAAGCAAAATATTGTGATATAAGTGTGGATAAGATCCCCCCCCCCCCACTCCGCACCGACACAATTACAAAACAGACAGATAATCATTTTATAACTAATCGTGCAGTATAAAATGACGCATCGTTTTCTTCAACGGGCGTATCGTGTGCATGGAGGGGAGGGGGTGGGGGCACAACATCCAGTTCAATCCACGATTTACGCGTATTTGTTGTATTTAGTGTTAAGCGCTTTAAAATTTGCCATATAAAGTACTATTACAGTCAATTAAACATGATAAAACATAATAACATTAGCAGTTCATAAGCCCACTCTCTAACGAAATAAGTAGTTTTTTTTCTAACAAACAAACAAGCAAGGAAACAAACAAATAGAATGGCAGAGAGAGAGAGAGAGACATACAAAGAAACAAGTAAGCAAGCAAAGGTACCTTACCTTGCAGTTGGAAAGACTTGCTTTATTTTTATGATCTCCTCCTCGTTGTCGAATGTCATGAGTCTGACGTCGTTCTTCTTGGCAAATCTAAGATGGGATATGGCTTTACATGGGTTTGCATAGATAATCCGATCGGGGTGAACGCCCATATCAAGAACCTGACGTAACTCCGTCTAAAGAGAGAGAGAGAGAGAGAGAGAGAGAGAGGGGGGGGGGGGGGGAGAGAGAGAGGGAGGGAGAGAGACATACAGACAGAGACAATAACGAGTAATGAGAGAGAGAGAGAGAGAGAGAGAGAGAGAGAGAGAGAAAGAGACAGAGACAATAACGAGTAGTGAAAGAGAGAGGGTGTGGAGAGGGACGGAACGGGGAGAGGGAGAGAGAGGGAGAGGATAGGAACAAATAAGAGATAGAAAGATAGACAAACAATGAGAGAGGGGGAGAGTGGGGAAAAGAGAGAGACAGAGTGTGTGTGAGAGAGAGAAAGAGTGAGAAATGGGGGGGGGGTGGAGAGGGAGAGGGAGAAGGAGAAAGAGAGAGAAAGAGAGAGAGAGAGAGGGAGGGAGAGAGGGAGGGAGAGAGAGAGAGAGAGAGAGAGAGATCTTTGAATGTTACCAAACACCTTGAAATAAAATATACATGTGCAGTATATCAAATTGAAATTGAAGGAAATTATATTTACATTAAAAAATGCTGTAACGTTGTAAAAGGAAATCCGTGGAAAGAGAAATCATTATTTTGAAACAGACTCGTAGGCCTATATTTGTGAAACGTCATGCTCCTATTAGTCATTCTTTCCTTTGAGTTGACAGGGGCGTCATAGAGTTGTTCTAAAACCAATTAAAATAAGGTATTGCGTAAAATAATAAAGTAATTTATGATTTGCCTACTTATATTTCTACCAGGATGAATTTTTTCTTCTTAAACTGATGGATGTAATTCAAATTTATGACTTGCCTTATATTTATATGAATATATTTTTTCATAAACTGACGGACGTAATTTAAATTTATGATCACAATAATTCATCGAAATGTTATCGGTTTTCTTCGCCGTCAAATTAAGATTCAATCTTCTTCGCCATGCGTTTCGTAAGCGAAAAAACAAAACAAAAATGGTTTAATTATCTTCAAACCTTGCTTCAATTTCACCAAAAAGTAAACAAATTAAAATGTTAAAATAAGAAATGTACCAATAATAATATGAACGATGATGATATGATAAAGATGATGAAAAGTTAAAAAAAAAAAAAGAAAAGCAAATGACGTCTGAAATATGTGGAAATGTGTGTGGAATTAAAAAGAATCCGATTTTTGTAGACTGATTTTCAGATATACAGGTTCACAAAGGATAAGCTAAAAGCTTAGTGTATATTTTCCTGTTACCTTTTTACAAGGAAACGCACACTTTTCATTTTTTCAACACGCCAGTAAAAATATGCAACTTACATAATCATAATAATATACCTTATACATAATAAGGAATACACATCCAAACCAACAACGTGATAGACATAAGGGGGAAATAATGAGTAAACTAGTAGTATATGGATGGGAATTTAAAAAAGAGCACAGTTGCTTGTCAAGATAAATCTCCAGAATATTACATTGTAAATGGGGAGGGGCGGTCGTTTAGATTATTTTAATTTTGTCGCTTGCATCCTGTTACAGCTAATATAGGGCAGTGATTTAATGCGCATGTGTGCCTGGAAAGATAAGTACGACAATATCGGAAGCTCAATTGGTAATATAATCTGAATAAGTGGGAGAAGCATGACGTATTTTTTCAGGTTTATTGCGAAAGTCATAAATCCCACTGGGTCAAGTGTGTTCGGAAAGGATCACATGTCTGTGTCTGTGCACACTTTTATTGTTTAGTTGGTTTTTATTTACAAGCTTTCTTGTATTAAGGGCTATACAATTTCTTTGTAATATTCCTAGCACGTAAATCATTAGAAAAATAATTTTGTTCGTGTAATCCGTACAAAAAAAAGCAGCTGATATATTTATATTCTAAAAATGAAAAAATTACGAAACTTGAACAAAATATTCAGTTTTTTTACATTTCCACGATATACATCTACAACTGAATGGTGATAATGATACAGATTAGACGGAGGTAAATGCAGAATAAATGAATAATCGACGAATACATGAATTATGAATAGTGGAATAGAAGAATGATGATAAATACATCGATAGGTAAAATGTACCAAACAAATCAAAGGATAATAACGGATGTAAACATCGTAGTAATTTCATAATACGGTATAGCACGTAAAATGGGATAAAGAAGATGCAAATGCAATGAGAGAGAGAGAGAGAGAGAGAGAGAGAGAGCGAGAGAGAGAGAGAGAGAGAGAGAGAGAGCGAGAGAGAGAGAGAGAGAGAGAGAGAGAGCAAGAGGTGCAAGCCCCAAAACGAAAGGGGTGAAGAAATAAAATAAAATAAAATTAAAAACAGCATTTAGTTTACCAGCCGAAAATGAAACCGGAGTAAGCATAATCCTGTCGTTTTTTGTATTACCTTACTAGCACAATCAAAACCTGCTCCAAGATTGGCTAATGTTTCTACTACTCTCCTGTCGGCGTTGCATTTAACAGCTAAAATTAAGAAGAAAACATTTAACTTCACACATTTATGGAAGACTAGAAGTATTCTCGATCAGAAATAGTGACTGATTGCTAATTTTCCCGAGAACATAACACACATAGTATAATTTAATTACGTTATCGCAAATAATTCAAAAATTTAGTTTCACAGTCATCTTGCCTAACAATAAGGGATGGAAGGCAAAGTTTTGATCTCACAAACTTACCAAAAATACAATCCTCATCCTCATAAGCAGCAGTAGCAACAACAACAACAACAACATCAACAAACAAGGGAAAGGTGAGTAAGGTCAGGAAATACGTCACAAAGGAAACCCGAAAAGCTTACATTGAATATAATAAATAAATTTGTGTTATCGTAGATTGTGGGGAATAGGATGAAAAGGCATGGAGCAGTTTGTTCAAGATCTTGGAGACATTTTATTATTTCTTAGGAAATGGTGTCTCTGGACAGATCGTAAGTAGGGATTTTTAGACTTGCACGTCGACATAGTGGACTCCTACGTGTGACGTCCTTTTAAGGCGCTGTGACTTCCTTATAAGGCACTGCAAGTGACTTAAAAGGACGTCACGCGTAAAATAGCAGTCCACTTTGACTTTTAGATTTGCACGTCGACAAAGTGGACTGCTATTTTACGCGTGACGTCCTTTTAAGTCACTTGCAGTGCCTTATAAGGAAGTCACAGCGCCTTAAAAGGACGTCACACGTAGGAGTCCACTATGTCGACGTGCAAATCTAAAAGTCCCTATTAATGGTTAGGTCGAAGCTTCAAATAATATTGTTAAAGGTTGGTGAACCACTGTAATTTCTTGGATAAAGAAATGCTCTTTCTGTGTTCTTTTAACTGGCGTGTGATATTCAATGACCTTCACGGGCTTGAAAAGCGCAGGTAATAACGCAGCCGTAAGGACACCTCTTGTGCAACTGTTCTAAAACAACAAAAACAACACCAACAACAACAACAAGATCAGCAGCAATACAATGTCATTTCATGTTCTGGCTTACCATAGAATGGTTGCACGTTGGGAAACTCCCGTTTCCACAGTTTGTGTTTCATCTCGATGTCCGCAAGATCGACCACAAAGAAAGGGTCGTCCTCATCCTGTGACAAAAAAAGATCATTAATTTGTTTTAAAATTATTATTATTATTATTATTATTATTATTATTATTATTATTATTATTATTATTATTGTAACGAAATTTTATTACAAATGTTTAATTCAGACTGCCCTCGTTCTCGAACTCTTAATTGTCTCTTCTTAGTTATCGCTCAATATCAATAACTCATGCGTGTATGCAAAACAAATGAGACAGAAGAAATGGAGTAGTGTGATCGTGAGTGTCAGTTGTATTCGTCGTTTATTACTTTCAATAAGGTTTGGAAAGAGCAGAAAGGAGTCCGAGGAGAAGTCTCAAGAAGTCTGTCTAACAAGTCTCTCGATTTTAGAATCCCTGGCTTTATATAGGGAGCTATATTTATCAGGCGCGGATCCAGGGGGAGGCCGAGCGTGCCTTGGCCCCCTCCCCCCCGCAAAAAAAAAAAAAAAAAAAGAGAAGAAAGGAAAAGAAGGGAAAGGGAAAAGGAGAAAAAGGGAAAGAAAGAAGAGGAAGAAGAAAAGAAAAGGGGGAAGAAGGAGATCGGGGGCCGAAAGGGCCTTGCCTCCCAGGCTGTTAACACCCCCCCCCCCCAATCAAAACAAATAAGAGAGAAGGAAGGAAAGGGAAAGAAAAAAAAGGAAAAGAGGAGATACTGGCGTACTGATAGGTTGGGGGGGGGGGGGGGGGGGGGGCTTGGGAGAAGTCAAATTCAAACGTGGTTTATTTCTAATTCCACAACGGTGGATTACAAATAATGCTGAAATGACATAATTTCCGAAATTTTTCCTCACTTTTTAGTAAATTATACGTTTGTATGTGTTTCAGGGCTCAAATTAATTTTTTTGTCCACGGGGGCTCTTCCCCCGAAAAAAAGAGCCCCCGTGAGCCTTCTCACGGGGGCTCTTTTTTATACAAATATCCATTTAATTGGTACCTATGATACTCTTCAATTATTTGCTATTTCATCATTATCATTTCAATCAGCATTTTCCCTCTTACAAATTTACAAGCTACATAGCTGTTACTGGCCTGTGTATATAATATACGCATACAACACTGATCTTTATGATGTCTTTAACGTGACATATCTTCTTCTCCCCTTGCAAACGAAAAAGAAAACATGGTCATTAAAAGGGATTAAGCGACAAATAATGATTGTGATTCAAATTGATGCGAATATTCGTTTGAATAAGCACTGCTATTCACCCGAAACTTCTTTTTAAAAACAACTTTTACAAATCTCAGCCATGCTTACTGAGTTGAGACGTTCCATTCAATTTAAAATACCCATTACATAATACACTTCTCCTAATCTCAAAGTGATCTTACAGCACAGTGGCAGAATTGCATGGCTGAGATTTGTAAAAGTCGTTTTTACAAAGAAGATTCTGGTGAAAAGCATTGCTTATTCAAAAAAATCCTTGCATCAATTTGAATCACAATGTGTCGCATGGTCCTTTTATTAAATAACCTTGTTTTCTGTTTTGTTTGCAGAGGGAGAAGAAGCTATGTCACGTTAAGAAATCATAAAGATCAGTTGTATTATGCGTATATACATAATGATACCAGAACAAATGTTGATTATCAGAATGTCATTTTGGAATACCTCTATACAAATACCACATTGTCTTTAGTCCGTATCAGTATTAGTATGATCCAATATAAGGCTATTATTCTTTATTTAATTCAGTATAATGCTTTTCCTCAAAAATAGTTTTGCTATTTTTTTAGGGTCGAGACGCTAAGAAATGGTTTCAAATGTACATTACACGAACCCTGAACCATTGCAAAATGATGGTGGTTCTCTCTCTCTCTCTCTCTTTCTTTATTTTAATTATGCATTATCAACTACATATAAAGCAGCAACCAAAAACTTAGGGTTATCTGAGAAAGGTGAAAGTAAGAGTTAAAAAGAAAGTCATGCTAAAACGGCGCTTCACTTCCCACCGCCCCCTGAAAAAAATAAAATAGATTAGTAGTCCTCCTCTCCAGAATCCACCTCCCCCCCCCCGCTTTAATATCACATTTTCACTTGGCAGCCCAAGGGGGCCGGGGGGTGGGAGGAGGGGGTTAAACCCCCTACCCCCACCCCCTGCCGTAGATCTGCCCATGTTACCATATCATTCCACGACATTTTGGTCTTCCTCTTCTCCTCAAAAGGGACTTTTAGATTTGCGTGGACGTGGACGTGTTACGTCCTTTTAAGGCACTGGCAATCACATGTGACGTCCTTTTAAGCAATGGCAGTGCCTTAAAAGGAGGTCACACGTTGCAGTCCACGTTCTCATCGTGCAAATCTAAAAGTCCCTAATATTGATTTACTGGTCGAGGTTCATTATTTGCTGACAACGAAAAACTTCTCCAGGCCATGACCATGTTTCTGCCCTTGCCCGATCGCCTCCAGCTCCAGCAGACATGGCGCGGCAGCGTGCACACGCACCGCTACTAACGGCGCAGTAGGCCTATAACCACTGCTGACGGCGGCACTGCACTTTTCTTCGTTTTCTTCCTCTAATGATTAAATGAAACGTAAAAGCTTCCGCGCTTTGCGCGGGAGGGGTGGGAACCTGAATTCAGACGAGGATTAAGAGTCGAGAACTGTACAACGAATCGTTTTCTTCCTCTAATGATTAAATGAAACGTAAAAGCTTCCGCGCTTCGCGCGGGAGGGGGAACCTGAATTCAGACGAGGATTAAGAGTCGAGAACTGTACAACGAATCGTTTTCTTCCTCTAATGATTAAATGAAACGTAAAAGCTTCCGCGCTTCGCGCAGGAGGGGGGGGGGGGCTGAATTTAGACAAGGATTAAGAGTCGAGAACTGTACAACGAATCGTTTTCTTTCTCTAATGATTTAATGAAACGTAAAAGCTTCTGCGGGGGAGAGGAGGGGGGACTGAATTTAGACAAGGATTAAGAGTCGAGAACAGTACAACGAATCGTCTTCTTTATCTAATAATTTAATGAATCGTATAAGCTTCCGCGCTTCGCGCGGGAGGGGGGGAACCTGTATTCAGACGAGGATTAAGAGTCGAGAACTCTACAACGACTCGTCTTCTTCCTCTAATAATTTAATAAATCGTAGAATTTTCGGCGCTTCGCGCGGGGGGGGGGGGGGGGGGAACTAACTTCAGACGAGAATTATTTCCGAGAACGGTACAACGAATCGTCTTCTTTCTCTAATAATGTAATGAAACGTTAAAGCTTGGGAGGGGGAAACTCCCCCCCCCCCGCATTACGTCACTGTTGGTCACCATTACGTACCAATATTTGGCTCGCACAATTTCAAATTTGGGCCCCCCCCCCTAAGAAATCCTGGATCCGCGCCTGATATTTATACTGTTTTCTAGCAGGCCAACCTTCCAGCAAGGACACAACCCGACCTCGAGCTAAAGGGCAGAGTCTGTCCTCAAACCATAGACGTAATTGCTCAAACTGAGGACAAAGTCTGGCCTCTGCTCGGGGTCAGTTGGGGGCCGCACGCGACTGAGTATTATTATGTTAAAGAGGAAGTCCACCCTGCAATTAAGTTAGTTTTAATAGGAGTAGAAAAATGAGAGAAACAAGTCAGTGAAAGTTTGAGCAAATTCCGATTAAAAATAAGGAAGTTAGGATTTTTTAAGTTGTGATCAATCAAACACAAATTGGCAACTCTATGACGTATCATGCGAGCTCAACTTCCATTTGCTCAGTACTAAAAAAATCTAAAATTTTCATTTTCCCTCAAGAAAAATTTCAACCATACATGCACCCTAAATATAATAATTGCAAATATGTTTCTATACTCCCCCTGCAAGGAACAAATATATATTCCGTCATCAATAACGAAGAAAACATGATTTTATGGAATATTATGCACAAAGCTAATGAAGGAGAGCTCGTATAATAAGTCACAGAGTTGCCAATTTGTATTTAATTGATCACAACTTCAATAATTCATAACTTTCTTATTTGGTTTTGATGCGATAAAACCTGCTCCTGGTTGCAGTGGCGTAATGAGCAAAAACGTTTTATGGGGGCTGACAAAAAAAAATCGCAGCACCCCACTCTAACATGTAGGCCCCGCTGAACGTTTCGCAAAGTTGGGTCTAGGGGCAAAGTCCCGGCGGGGACCAAGGGGTGGAGTCCCCGACGCTCAAGGGGTATGAGCATCAGTGGCGGATCCAGAAATTTCTTACGGGGGGGGGGGCACAAAATGGCATGGAGTTAAATATAATGTAAAACGATGAAGCGACAGAACGAGGCTTTAGCGGCGAGGGAGCGGAGCGAGCAAGCGGGGTGGGTCTTGGAGGGGGTTCTGGCCCCCTCCCAGAGTAAGAAGCATTTTCCAATTTTAGAACCAAATTAGACGCATTTTCAGAGTAATATGACGTAAAATTGCTTTCTCCTACCCCTTCCAAGAGTAGGGATCTTTTGCAATTTGAGAAACACATTTAGCGCATTAAAGTCCACCGGCACTTCCTGGAAAAATTCGAGGCCTTCTGATTGGTTAGAAGTTAGAGAAAAGTGATCTGTCACATCTTGAGACGTTGTATATGCTTTGATACCGCACAATGCACAAAGACGGTGGTCCGGTACTTCATCAGTAGTACTTGCAAACATTTTCTCGAGTGTATAAACTGTGTCGTTATCAGGGGCGTCGCTAGATCTTTGTCAGTGGGGGAGTGGGAAGGGTGTAGAGGCCACCGATTACCGAAAAAACGAGCAACCAATTACCGACAAATATATTAATGCCCAAATGTTTACAAATTTAACCCTATAAACCCGGGGCCAGGAACTAAGTTATTTTTCAGTCTCCCCCTCCCGCGCAAAGCGCGGCAACTTCGACACTTCATTAAATTATTAGAGAAAGAAGACGATCCGTTGTACCGTTCTCGACTCTTAATTCTTGTTTGGATCCAGTTCCACCCCTACCCCCTCCCACCCGAAGCGCGGCAGTTTTTACGTTTCAATAAATTATAACTCTTAATCCTTGTCTGAATTCATTTTCGCCCATCCCGCGC